AAAAAAAAAAAAAGATTCGCCAAGATTTTTATAAAATTACGTCTATAAGCAAGGCCACTGCTTGTGATTTCAGGCTTAGCCTTTGGTAAATACAGACTACCTCCATACTCCTTGCTAAGCTGCTGCCCTGTTCCCCTCCGTGCCCATCACCACCCTGGTCCCCCTGGCCCCTCTCCTAAGACCACCCGGAACTTCCCATGATACAGAATTAATGCAGGGGGCCCCCAGGACTCTATTCCAGTCAGGTGCTGTTTCTGATGTACCCGTGTTCTACCACCTGTTAAATATTTTGAAGATCACCTCGGCTTGTAACCATTTTAGGTATTAGCATAAAAGATGCTTTCTGTGTTTAACTTTGTCAAGAGAAGCGTTCGTTAACGAACATGTACTTTTTGAACCAGTTCTAATCCTAATTCTAAAGCTAATTCAGTCAGAAGAGGCCAGGTTATGCAGTATAACAACCCACCCCAATCTCCACGGCTTACGGCTAGAAAGTTTCTTGCTCTCACACTCCACGTATCGACCACACAGCTTCTCTGTTCCGGGTCATCTCCATCCCAAGCCCCAAGCTGAGAGAAGCAGCCTCTACCTGGAGCATTGCCAGTCTTAGAGCGAAGGGAGACAGGAAATGGAGAGCCACAAGCTGGATTTTAAAGCTTCTGTTTGAACAAAACACGCATCACTTCTGCTTGCAGTTCACCGGCCAAAGCAAGACAGTATTGCCAATCCTGACATATATGAGCAAGGAAGCATATACTCTTTCCTCTGAGAACTGACAGGGCATATTTCTGAACAGTAATGGAATCTACCCCAGGGCAACAATAAAATGAGAATATACACTCAACCCTTGGAGTGTAGAGATGAGTGCAGGTTTCTATGTTTAAGGGTATAAATGGTAACATTCTTGGTTAGTAGAAGAAGAACCAATGACACATTTTGTGATCATGTCTGAATCTTGGGCTTTTCTTTTTATTTGTGCTCAACAGCTGAAGCCACTGGGCTGCAACATCATTAATGTTGCCAGTGATGAATATGGGATTATTCCGGACTCCCTCAAAGAAGTACTTTCCAAATGGAAACCAGAAAACTCAAAGAACCCCAAGAAAAACACCCCCAAGTTTCTTTACACTGTTCCAAATGGCAACAACCCTACTGGAAACTCATTAACAAGTAATCGCAAGGAGGAAATCTATGAGGTATTTTAAAAGAATGTGTTCTGTGGCAATGTTCTTGTTTATTTGACTTTTGAGAAGAGTACTGTGCAAGCTCCCTTTCTTATTTCTTATTATTACAAGGAAGATAGTTTTTAATAAAAGGAAGTCATCTATGCCCGAGGGTCCTAATAAATTGTAACATAAGAAATTACTCCATCCTTAGTTAACTATGAGATTTTTCTTTTCCTTTAATTGATATTTTCATTAAAAAAATAGCATTTTTTACCTAATGTTAAATTTTATGAGGTTATTTAATCAAACCCCGTTTGATTTTCATTATTTATATTTATATTTTCAACTTCTCTCTTCTCTTTCCTACTCCTTCGCATTTCAGGTTACAAAGAAATTCTTTAAAAATAAGAGGCATGCTCCTTTTGTCAAGTCTCTTTTAGGTACCTGACTACGATGTCTAAACTTTTCACTATAAACATTTTTTTTTAATATCAAACACATACATAGCAGTACAAAAATCTTTGAAAAATAAGACAGAAATGTGCCTTTTGTAAAGTCTCTTTTATGTACCTGACTGTGCTCCATAGACTTTTGCTACAAATAGCTTTTTAATATAAGTACCAAAGCCATATTAAACTATATAGAATGTGTAGTGGAATCATAAAGAAAGATTTCAAACAGTTTCTTTCACTTATTTATGTGTGTATGTGTCAAAATATTGTCTTATTTTTCACATACTCCAGAGTTCTGTCCGGAGTTCTCCTCTTATTTACATACTACCCCCAGATAGTCTCATCCAGTTGTATGGTTATAAATTCCATTCTAAATTTCCCCTGAACTCCGCACTTCTGTTTCCAACTCCTCCATCCAACTTCTGTTTCCAACATCCACCATGAATGTCTAATGGGCATTTCCAACCTACCATGGCCAAATGGAACTCTTGATTTAGTCCAGCCACACCCAACCTCCAATCCACAACCCCTCACATTCTCTATCGCTGTAAATAGTGCCACTATGAACAGTCACCCTTTATTCCTCTCTTTCCCTTCTCTCCCCCTTCACCCCCTACATCCAGCCCATCCTGTGGACTCCACTACCAAATGGATCCAAATCCACCAGTTTCTCTCCTCTGCGCTTACTGTCACCGTCTTCCCAGCTACCACCTTCCTCACTGGTCTACTAGGATAGTTTCCATGCTGGACCCCTGCTGCATTCCACTCTCGATCTCCAACCAATCATTCTTCACACAGCAGCCAGTCATGTCCTTCCCTCCCTCCTCTGAAATATAAATGTAAAGCCAGTCTCATGGTCCTCCTGTTTACAATCCTCTAGTGGCTTCCCTTTTCAATTAAAATAAAATCCAAATTCCTTCATCTGCCTCACAAAGCTATGTGACCTGGTAGTCTAGTCTCAGGCCTTATTGTCTCTTACCTCCTTCTTGCTGCAGGCCACTTTGTCATGCTGAGCACTTGTGTTATCTTGTCAGGAAGGGCTTCCCAATGATTCAGCCTGAAACAGCTACCCTCTTTCTCTCTCTCTCCCCCTCAGATATCACCCTGCCTAGCCCCTAAAACCTCCTGCTTATATTTCTTCTCTTCATTATCCATTGGCTTATGTATATTGTCTTTCAGAACCTAGAATGTAAGTTCCATGAGAACAAGAGCCTTCAGTGAGTGCCTCGTTCATCTCTGTATCCTCATTGTCTAGGAAAGAGGCACTCAGTAGTTTCTTGAATGAATAAATGAATACAAAGAATTATGATTCCAAGTGATTTTCAGCTTAGATAGTTCTTAAGAATTAAATATGCTACTTTAACCTTTTTTTAGCTCGCAAGAAAATATGATTTCCTCATCATAGAAGATGATCCTTACTATTTTCTCCAGTTCAGCAAGGTAAGTGATGATGTGAACTTATTTCACAATTAGAAGATAAATTGTAAGTGATTACACTGACTTGACTTTAACCTGGCTGCTGAGTCAGAGCTAATTTATCTTTACATTGAAATTAAATAAAATTAGTAGTAATCTGCTACCACTTCAGTCTTTAGTCTTTCAGTTTTATCATGGAATTAATACTTCTCATGTCTGGTATTACTGCTTTTTCCAGAAATGACTTACCTTTAAAATAGGAGCTAGTGCTCTATACCATGCATTTGGACAAACAGAGTGAGTCAGGGGCTGATGGTCTTCTTGAACTTCAGATCCTAGTTCATAGTTTTTTAAACATCATACCAGGGATGTGAAGTAGGTGTCAGCTATAATCTCTTGGCAGTGGCTGGCTGGAGTGATGTCTGAGAAGGATCTGAAAGAGGAAGATGGTCGTGCTCAGTTAGCGGTGTCCGTTACAGACATAGGGGAAAGCCGTACTGGCAGAATGCCACCTATTTACCATCCCTGTCATTGAAGGCCTGGATCTTACCTGCAGAATAAGGGATTTTTAGGTTCTTTTTCACTATATATGCATGCCACTTTCCACGATCACCGTCTCCCAATAGACAGCAGCAGTGGTACAGACTCCCAATGCCTGATTCTTCAAAATCAAACACTTTCTTTATTTGCTCTCGGAGCTGCTGAGAACATCTACTTGGATTCAATGCTTCCTTTAAATCTACTGAAAAGAAACAAAAATTCTTGATTTTTCTGTATAGTTTGCTGAATATCACGTCTACCTACCTACTCCCTACCCTCCGCACGACCTGGCCTCTTTTCTTCTGTGCATCTCCTTTTGAAGGAAATATTGAGGTCCATACTGCAGATTGACTACATTCCTCATCTTGTTTTGTCTTTCTAGCTGTTCTAAGGATCAGCATTCTCTCTCAAAACAATCCTGAATGCTGCAGGCCCTCTTCATTTTGATCTAATCCAAATGAGGTTTTCTTGAACCCTTCCTCTAAATCTATTAATCCTGGATCTCAACCTTTGAGCCTTGGAGGGCCCATTCGAGGTTTCCCTAAATTCATAATAATAGCATCTTAAGCAAATGAGTAAATTCTTCTGTATGTTTTTGGCAGAAAAGCTGTGAAGCTAGGCCGGTACTCATAAAAGATCATGCATCTCGGTTTCTTATTCCATTTTAAGGGTTGAGACTAAGGTAACAGAGAAGATGGTTGTGTTACTGCTATCGGAATCTATGCCCTCTCCATTCCCTACACAAAATAATTATAGTCACTAAACAGAGTTCTGAAACCAACAATATGTGTTTTTTCCATTTCAAGTCCTGGGCACCAACATTTCTTTCCATGGACATTGATGGGCGTGTCATCAGAGCTGACTCTTTTTCAAAAGTCCTCTCCTCTGGGTAAGGCCTTGTGTCTTAATTTACGGCCAGATCTAAAAAAGATAGACTGTACCTGAGTGTCCTTTAGTCCAAATAATTCTCATTTAAGATGCTAGTATTCCTACTTACCTTAAAACATCAGTTTGATTATTAGTAGTAATATATGCCTTTTCTTTATTCATCTCCAGTAATCAAAGGTATTTGGGCATTAATCTAAAGTTGGAATGGGACTGGTCAGGTTTTGGGTTTCATATATGAAAGAACACATTTCGAATACTTAGACTTGCATTCTATTTTAAATGTACACTTAAATTTGAATTTTAAATAACAAGTAGCTAGTTTTAGTAGAGTGTTTTAATCGTCTAGGTCCCCAGGTCACAACTGTCTTCCTAATGAAATCAGTATGGTGACACGTATTCATTGTTAACCCAGGCCTTTTCTCTTTTTGTGTAGGTTGAGAATAGGGTTTTTAACCGGTCCAAAAGCCTTGATAGAGAGAGTTGTCTTACACACACAAGTTTCAACCTTGCACCCCAGCACTTTTACACAGGTAAGGACAATGTCAGAAATAGGAGGGTTTGGGTTTTTTTTTTAAGCAATCAGAATAGAAAATAGATGTTAGCAAGTAAGCCTGAGTGAAGGTGGCAGGGAGGGAAATCACTGATACATAATCTCGAGATCGGATGCCGTGGATGTTTACTGTAAAAGGCAGATGAGAATTGAATTAACCTAGTGATACTTTGCAGCGTACAGATGTCCCCATGTTTTATCAAGTTGGGGGTTTTTTCCCATATTTTTTGTGTCTGTTATCAACAAAACTTCATTATCCATTTATAACATTTAGAACTTCCATTTTATATAGAAAAATCACTGAAAATATTATACAGCATATATCTACTATGCATTTTTTAATAAATTTAGAGAAGCGATATAGTATGGTAACTAATGGCATGGATCTGGAGCTAGACAGTCTAACTTGAATCCAGGCTCTGTGTCTCACTGACAGGGTGACCTTGGGAAAGTTCATTTAACCCTTGTGCCTTGGTTTCCTCATCAGTAAAATAGAAATGATAGCCTAATTAGGTTATTACAAAGATTAAATTATCTAAAATGTATTAATATATTACAGTAGTTTCTGGCACATAGCAAGTACTACATAAGTATTTGTTATTTTATTGTCATTGTTATTAACATTTATTATAAATCACTGTAAATCTTGGTTCAGCTTGTTATATTTTCTTGTGGTGGTTTACAGGTAATCAAGAGTGATTTGCTTTTTATGCTTCGAAAAGAAAAAAAAAACATTTTAGAGGGTGAACCATGACGTGTGTTATTGTGTCTTATCTCTTCTAGCTTCTGGTATCACAGCTTCTACACCAATGGGGAGAAGAGGGTTTCCTGGCTCATGTAGAGAGGTATTGCATGTTAGCTTCCATATTTTACATAGAAATAGGCTTCCCTTTATTAATTTTATTAATTTTCATTGGAATTATTCCAAAATAAACGAAAAAAACACAATGGTCAAAAGTTTGCCACCAGACAGGTCAAATAAACATGCTCTATTCCTTTTTCAAGCATTCCACATTTTAATCAAGATAGAAAACAGATTCTTATAGACTGGACTCCTTCTGGTTTCTTCAGTCAATGAACCAAATGCATACCTTTCGTTGTGTTCTTCTTCTAGGGTTACTGATTTCTATAGGAACCAGAGGGATGCATTACTGGCAGCTGCAGACAAATGGCTAAGTGGTGAGTGGAGCATCATCCTGTCCTGTGACAGACACCAGCACTTTCATGGGGCGGGGGGGGGTGGCGGGTAACACTGCACAGTTACTGTTAATAATATTGGGAGATGAGGGGCGCCTGGGTGGCTCAGTTGTTAAGCATCTGCCTTCGGCTCAGGTCATGTTCCCAGGGTCCTGGGATCGAGCCCCGCATCGGGCTCCTTGCTTTGCGGGGAGCCTGCTTCTCCCTCTTCCACTCCCCCTGCTTGTGTTCCCTCTCTTGCTGTGTCTCTCGCTGTCAAATAAATAAATAAAATCTTTAAAAATAAAAAAATAATATTGGGAGATGAGAAACAAGAGTCCAGGAGTATTCTTGTCAGGTAATGTGACCCTATAAGCAATCTCAGAAGTAACAGTCTGCAAACCCTGGCACTGTTCTATCTATCTCTGCTTTACCTGTCCGCTGCAAAGAATTTGTGGCTTAAAGGGGGGGAAAAGACCTTTTATTTTTTTTTTTAAGATTTATTTATTTATTTATTTGACAGGAGAGAGACGGCGAGAGAGGGAACACAAGCAGGGGGACTGGGAGAGGGAGAAGCAGGCTTCCCGCTGAGCAGGGAACCCGATGCCCAAAGCGGGGCTCGATCCCAGGACCCTGAAAATCAGCTAGCAATAACTTAAAGCCAAATGATGGCTATACTCAAAAGATTTTAGAGTTACTTCAAAATTTCCCCCAAACAGCAGAGGAATTGTCAAACAGTATGCTCCTTTTCTAATTAGACCATATAAAAACAAAATAGTACAATCTAAGGCAGTTCTCTCATTACAAATTACTTGCATTCTAATCATTAGCATGATTTATCTCTCTAATAATACCTATTGCTAATTTGATTGCAGGATGATTTAGATTTAATTTTCTATTAATGAATTATGTGGTTTTAATTATATCATTAAAAAAGCTTTTGGGGTGGGGCGCCTGGGTGGCTCAGTTGTTAAGCATCTGCCTTCGGCTCAGGTCATGTTCCCAGCGTCCTGGGATCGAGTCCCGCATCAGGCTCCCTGCTCAGTGGAGAGCCTGCTTTTCCTTCTCCCTCTGCCCCTGCTTGTATTCCCTCTCTCGCTGTCTCTCTCTCTGTCAAATAAATAAATAAAATCTTAAAAAAT